AGGATCAGGTGCAGATGAGCAGGCTCAGTGGAAGAGGGTAGCCGAGACAGGACATGGAACCAGAACTTGATGCAGGACTTTAAACTGGTCTCCTCTGTGGAGCCAGGGTTACTGAGATAAAAGCTGAACCTCCCCACATATAGAGCCAAAAACCCAGATGACTCCACGGGGGAGGAACAGTGGACGATCAGGAGACGAGACAAACACAAAAACCCTCTTTCCACTGGCTGCCAGGATCCAGGACATGAACCAAGGCAAAAACTCAACAGACAGACTCACAGAAAGACAAGTAATGATCTGGCACTGAATGCTCAGGCTGAACAGAATATAACTAAGAGGAAACAGGTGAGAGGAATAAATCATAATTGAGGCAGGGAGGGAAAACGACAAGGGAAAAGGAATGACTAATTAAGGAGGAGCAAACAGGCCAGATCATGACAATAAAATCCTAAAGCTCTGGAAACATTTCAACATTTCCCCCATCCACTCACACAGCCCCCCACTCCAGCTTTCTTTTAAACACTGACCTTGGCGGACAGATTTGTTGATGTTGATTTAATGAAGCCCAGTTAGCACATAGCGGTAACCGGTTTTAAGTAATAAAATGCCTGTTTGACACCATTAGTCCATTATTGTCAAATGCTTCGCAGCATTCCATGCAGGCCCAACAGGTTCTGCAACAGCTTCTTTCCCATCAGACAGTTGAATAATGAGAAAACTTTAAATCATGTCACAAACTCTTCATCACACTGATAACAGCAAACAAAAATTCTGCATATTTGCAGCATATATTTAATGCTCTGAACTTCCATATCAATGCGTTTTTGCACCATGTCTTTTCTGCCACACAGTTTACATTTAATCACTGCTGAACTTTATGGAATGGAAATGTTCTGAAAGCTGTATAAAATGAAATTTCCCTAACCCTTTGTCTTGGTCTAAGTCTATTTATGTTTTCCAAATTGATTTGGCGACCCCCAGAAATAATTTCGAAACCCCAATCGAGGTCTGGACCCCAAGGTTGAGAATGTCTGGCATAGACGACGTGGTTAGCAATGTGGAGGAACATCTGGCCTGGTCATAACGTATCACACATTTTACTGATTGAAAGGGGAAGGTGAAAAGAACGTCAAAGCGATGAGGAGAAGCTATCCGAAAGCGAAGGAA